GGAGGAAGGGGTGTGGGCAGGGATGGAGGAAGGGCTGGGTAAAGGGAGGGATGGAGGGGTGTGGGGGAGGGATAGAAGAAGGGCTGGGTAAAGGGATGGTTGGGGGATGGGGGGATGGATAGGGTCGTGGGTAAAGGGATGGAGAGGTTGGGGGGAGGGAGGGAGTGCTGGGGGCGATGGCTGGATGATGCCCCAGTGCATGCTGGGCCGGGGCAGTGTGGGGTGCGCTGCTCGCTATGGGGCACCCCAAGTAGGTCCCGTTCAGCCCCCGTACAAAGCAGCCTTCAGCGGGTGAAGGTGCCTGCCGAGAATAGCTGGTCCCTGACTCATGCTGTGGACGCACCCCGCTTAGCTCATGTCCCCCTCCCGGGACCAATAAACCTCCCTTTCCTGAGAACAGATTGACTCATCCAGGCTAAAAACAGTTGGGGAGTGGGGGCTGGGACTGGGAGCCAGGACTCCCGGGTTCTCTCCCCAGCTCTGGGAGGGGGGTGGGGTCTAGTGATTAGAGCAGGCGGGGGCTGGGAGCCAGGACTCCTGGGTTCTCTCCTCGGCTCTGAGAGGCTTCTTGGCCCAGAATCAAGGTTCCCACATCCTACATCTGGTCGGGAACCCCACTGCGCGCCCCTCCCCCCCCCGAGGGTGTGCAGGGCTCCAGCCGCATTTCTCAGCACAACACGTAAAGACAGAACCGCTCCGGCCCACACAAAGGCCAGCAGAAATCCCGGGCTGCCTCGGCCCGGGCCTTGCCCATCTGCATGTACCCGTACTCGCGGAGAGGCTGACCTGGCCCTGGCATGGCAAACTGGCCCGCTGGCCCTCTCACCTGGGAGGCTGGCCGGTGTATTCAGGGCCGTGCCCAGCCTCCTGGCTGGGGTCCGTATCGAACCTTCGCGCCCTGGCCATGTCGGCCTGCCCTTGTCCTAGACTTGAGGGTCTTAACGAGTGTCGCTTGTTACCACGCACGCCCGTCGGTTGCCAAGGCAGCTTCAGGGTTAAGCGACCCAAGAACCTGGTATCAAACACCCCCCCTTGAGCCCAGTGGTCCCGGCGCCCCAAAACTCAGGGGGGCTGCCGGGCCATTAGGCCTCAAAGCTTTACATGAACCGTTTACGCCCATGCCTTATGGCATATAGGTCCAGAGGCTACTGCTGCGCCAAATCCAATGCCACCGCTAGTGGTATGGGCTACAGGTCTAGTGGTCAGAGCGCGGGGGGGGGGGGGGCGGGGTGGGGGGACAGGACTCCTGGGTCCTCTCCCTGGCTCTGGGAGGGGAGTGGGGTCTAGTGGTTAGGGCAGGGGAGGCTGGGAGCCAGGACTCCTGGGTTCTCTCCCTGGCTCTGGGAGGGGAGTGGGGTCTAGTGATTAGGGCAGAGGGGGCTGGGAGCCAGAACTCCTGGGTTCTCTCCTTGATGCTCTCCCCTGACTGTGGAGGACAGGGCTGGCAGGGGAGGAGAGGGCAGGAAGGGGTTAACACTAGCCAGACAGCAGCGCCTCCCGTCACTCCTTCCCCAGCCCAGACAGGGCTGTTTGTAGGAATCACCTCATTCCAGGCCGGCCTTGCCCAGCCCCTTCTGGCACCAGCCCCCGGAGCGCACCCTAGCCAGCTCCTCCCCGCACTGGAAAACAGAGCCCCCCAGCTATACATAGCAATGACCTCACCCGGCGCTGGGACGTGGCCACCTCTGGGGTGGGGCGCGGGGGCTGGGTATACGGGGACCCCTTGTCCAGGGCTGAGATGCAGCTGTCTCTGGGGTGGGGCGTGGGCCTCTGCTTGTCCCAGTGTGGTGACTGGAGTTGCCAGCGCGGGAGATGGTGACATATCCTCTCTCTGGGTCTTTCCCCAGCCCATCCCTACGCAACAACAGCTGCGTTCAGAGAGCTCCCCACTGAGGAAACGGAGCTCTGAGCTGGAATTTCCACTGGGCCGGACGCCCGTCCCTTCTCCACGCCCAGCCTCAGCCGCAGCCTCTGGAGAGAAACAAGCCTTTCGCTGCCGGGGGTTGCCCCACATGGCCCCTCCTCCATGTTCACCCCACCAGCCAGCCTGCCCCCCAACTCTTGGGCGGGATCAAAGCCAGCTCTCCCTGGAGGGGAAAGGTCCCATTCCCTGCCCCCCTGAGCCAGCCAGTCCCTGCCCTGGGTCCGGATGGGAGCCAGCGCCCCCCTAGAGGGGAAAGGCCCCGTGCCCCATTCCCTGCCCCCCTGAGCCAGCCAGTCCCTGCCCTGGAGCCGGATGGGAGCCAGCGCCCCCCTAGAGGGGAAAGGCCCCGTGCCCCATTCCCTGCCCCCCTGAGCCAGCCAGTCCCTGCCCTGGGGCCGGATGGGAGTCAGCGCCCCCTAGAGGAGAAAGGCCCCCATACCCCATTCTCTGCCCTCCCTGAGCCATTTTTCCGTGTTCAACTTCCTGCCCTGGCTTATCCTTATCGGCAAAGCTCTAACCAGGAGAGACGACAGACAAACACAGAAAGTACCTTTCAGTCATTTATTGTTTTCTCTCTCTATATTTATACATATATAACCCACCCCCTGTAATTTGCTACGTCAATCGTGACACAAACACTTGCAACGAGGACCATAATACCTTTTGTCTGCGTTTATATCAGTGTAAAAAATGGATGTATAAAAAAACCCAGATGAATGATACCAAAAGAGAGACTGGACAGATGTAAGCAGCTAGCTACATTCTAGCACTGTGAGGCACGGGTCCGGCGACATCACCTTTAAGATAATGGCCGCCAGGACTATTTAAAACCCCTGGATAAATATTCAAGAACCAAGCAAATGGGGTTTGGTGGGGTTTTTTTTTTGGCGTTTTTAAATTTCCAGCTAGAGGGCTGATTCTGTGATTTACCTTTAAGGCTCCAACAGGCAAGGGTTTTTGACCGCCAGACAAATATTTTCATTAAAGGCTGCATGCTGTTTAACCACTAGAGGCTTTTTCTTAGGAAGGCGCCAGAGTGCACCCATTACCTTTAAGACTCCGGCAGGCAAGCATTTTTAACCACCAGACATATATTTCCATTAAAGGGGAGTTGTCACCTCTTTCCCACCCTCCCTCCTGTTCCACCCCCCACTTCTGCTGGGATTGGAGGTGTTGGGTTAAAAGGCCCCAGTGCTCACTGGGCCCTGCCCGTCAGGCCACCAATTTTTCATCCGCCACAGCTCCCGCTGGAGAAAAGGAACAGAATGGCCCGTGGTCAGCCATGATTCCTCCCCCACTCCCACCCCCAGCCACCGTGGAGGGGAGGCAACGGGCTTCTTAGAGGGCCGGTCTAAGGCAAAAAGGATAACATTGTTATTACAAGGGAGTGGGTACGCCTGGACAGGGAGTGCTGGGGAGGAGGAGGGGGAGGGGGGAAGAAGGAAAAAGAATGAAAGCGAGAAAATGAGAGAAAAAGAACAAAAGACCAAGTGAAAGAAAAGAAAGTGAGAGAGAGCTCCAAGAAAAGAAGGAATAAATGAGAATGATTGAAAGAGAGAGAAAGAAAATAAATGAATAAATACATGAAGGAAAAAAAGGAAACGAATGAATGAGAGGAAATGAAAGAAAAGCAAGAGAGCAAAGACTAAATAAGAAAGACAAAGAGAGGGATAAAGGAAAAGAATAAATGAAAGATAAAGACAGTAAATGAAATAGAAAAAGAATGAATAATTATAAGAAAGAAAGAAAGAAAGAAAAAGACAGACAATAAACGAGAGAGAAAAAGGATGCAAGAATAAGGAAAGAAAAGAAAAGAATGAATAAATAAATGAATGAGAGGACAAGACAGACAGATGAGATCCGGAGAACCCGGTGGGAGACCAGCCCTTATCCCCAACCCTCAGCCGGCCCAGCAGCCCCCGGCGCGGCTAGGCCTGGATGAAGATGAGCCGGGCGGAGTACACCAGGTCGGCCAGGTAGACCAGCAGGTTGATGGCCGTCAGCACGGCGATGGCCACCAACTTATCCCAGTCGCAGAAGCTTCTGCTGTTGCTGCTGCAGTAGGAGGGCCGGTTCGGCCGGCCACCCTGATTCTTGTCGAAGTTGTAGATGGGCCAGATGACGGTGGCCGTGGCGTACATGAGCACAGCCAGCAGTGTGTAGCCACTTAGGAACTTATTGAAGGCACAGGGCAGCCAGCCGGTGCACTCCCCGATGCACAGCACAATGACCACCAGCGAGAGGATGAAGCAGATGCAGTAGACGGCCAGGCACCACTTCAGCCCCTCGTGGCGGTCGTAGGAGACCGGCTCGCTGATGAAGACGAAGATGATGCAGGCCACGAAGGTCTCTACCACCTTCAGCAGCCCGGGCACGGAGGCCATGTAGCCCGTCACCTCACCCGGCCTGGCCCGGGTCATGGTCACCTCCACCGAGTAGGCCAGGCAGGTGAGGCAGGAGAAGACGGTGGCAGCGATGCGGTAGTCCTTGGTTTTGCCAGAGGCAGCATTGTGCTGGATGTGGGTGACAGGGTAGATGACGGAGGCCGAGAGGCACATGAGGGTGGCGTACATGGCGAAGGTGATGGGGAAGTTCTTCCAGGAGACGGGTATGCGGTGCTGGAGCCCGACGAACTCCACCAGCAGCACCAGCAGCGTCATGGCAAAGCAGAAGCACCAGCAGAACATGCACCAGTCACCGTTACGGCCATACCAGCCCCCCTGGTGCACCACCAGGCTGAAGGTGACGCAGGCAAAAAGCGCCTCCAGCAGGCGGACAATGCCCACTTGCGAGGTCAGGGCCTGTGTGTTGCCCACGGACTTGACGCGCTGGATCGGCATGGTGGGGTCACCTGGGGAGGAGGAGATGGGGGAGGAGAGTCAGGGCGCGGTACAGGAATCCGGCATATGCACAGAGCTGGGCAATCTCCATCCACTCCAGCAGGGGGCAGCCGGGACGGACAGACGGACACACACACTCTCTCTCTCTCTCTCTCTCTTTCTAAGGGGGCTGTTTCAGTGCCTCTGGTCCAAGGTAGACACCCCATCCCCAGTCACCGGCAGGGCCCGGCTGAGCTGACCTTGGGGTTCATGACCCCAATGCCCTGTGGATAGTGCCAGGCTGAAAAGCTTGGGGAAAGGGGGCTGGAAGCCACGACTCCTGGGTTCTCTCCCCGGCTCTGGGAGGGGAGTGGGGACTAGTGGTGAGAGCACGGGGCGGTGGGAATGTGCATCTCTGTAGCATGAATTGGGTGGGGAGGAGAAAGGGAGATGGAGGAAGAGAGGGAAGGAGAGAGCGGCCGAACGAAGGAGTGACGGAGGGCTCTGGGCTGGGACAGAAAGATGGGAGCATGATGGGGGCCCCCCAAGGCTGCGTGGCAGAGTGGGGGATGGGTCCAAGCCACCCCGGAGGCACTGCCAGGCATAGGGCAAATTCACAGGGGGAAAGATCCCCCCCCCCCCCATCCCGGGGGCCAGGGCCCCCCCCCCCGGACCCACCCAGTGTCCTGAGGGCCAGCACCCCCCACCCCCGGCCCTGTCTGGATCCTGGGAGCCAGCGCCCCCGCTCCGGCCCCACCCAGGTCCTGGGAGCCAAGGCCCCCCCTCCGGCCCTGCCCTGGTCCTGGGAGCCAGGGCCCCCCCCTCCGGCCCCACCCGGGTCCTGAGAGCCAGGGCCCCCTCCCCCCAACTCCAACAGCTGGAACTGCTCAGCCAGGCCTAGAAATATCCTGTCATGGAGCAGGGAAGTGTGGGAGGGAATACACATAGGTCTCCTCCCCCCGAACCAAGTGGTCAGACAGCTGCTCCCCAATATGTCCCACTGCTCCCAATTGCCACCCAATGCTGCCCTGCTCCCTCCCCACCTAGCTTCCACCCACTGCCCCCTCCCCACTCCCCCTGCTTGCTTGGATGCGGGGGTGAAAGGGTTTCAGCCCCTGGGGCAGGCCAGGAACCTTCAGATTGAACTGGGGGGGGCACACATGGTTTATGAAGGGGGGGAAGGGAGGAGCTGAGAGCCAGATACTGGGAGGGAGACCTGTTCCCATACCCCAGTCCTGGGGTCCCCCCACAGCAGAGCAGTGGGCCCAGCCTGATGGTAGGGGAGGATGATCTAGTGGTTAGAGTTGGGGCGGGGGGGGGGGGGCTGGGAGCCAGGACTCCTGGGTTCTACCCCTGACACACTGTGCACCCTTTGCACCACTCCTGCCCCTCTGCCTGCCTTAGTTTCCCCACCTCTGAGGAGAGGAGGGGCTGGGAGAACCAATCACTCAATCAAGTTAATTAGCCACTGACAGCGGGGGTGATGGTGATGGTGAAGGCGGTTAACGGCTCCAGTAGGAGCCATGTCACTTCCTCTCGGCCCCTCCCTCGCACAGATCCGCTATGTTGTCGTCTGTCAGGCGGGAGCGGAGGCTGGAAACTCGCCCAGCCCCGGCCCTGCCCATGACGCTGGGAGCCAGACACCGGATCCTGCTCTGCCTGGGAAGAAACTAGGCAACTGGGCTGGGAGCCCTGCTCCTCCCTGACCATGGAACCCAGGAGTCCTGGCTCCCAGCCCCCCCCCAGCCAACCCACTAGACCAGTGCTTGCCTGTCTCAGAGCGGCTCCCTTGGTCTCTCGGGTAGTGCTGGGCTGGGGGCCAGAGAGGAGGGGCAAAGGGAGGGGGAGGAAGGGCAGTATGGGGGGGCAGCCTGCAGCCGCTGCCCTTATAAGGCCTAGAGAAAACCCATCCCCAGCATGTTATTTTCCACCTCGCTTCGGCATTTCAGGGCCTTGGTCACAGGCCTGGAAGGAGGCTGGGCTTCCCCAGCCAGACGAGCGCAGCAGGACGCCTGGGTTCTGCCCTGCCTCTGTGCAGGCAGTGGGGCCTAGTGGTTAGAGCAGGGGCTGGGCGCCAGGACTCCCTGGCTCTGCTATTGCTTTGCTGGGCTACCTGGGGCGAGCCACTACCCCACTCTGTGCCTCTATTTCCCCAGCTGTGAAACGGGGCTCACGACCCCGCGCCTTCCTGCCCCGAGCCCTTTGAGCGAGGTCTACGGGCGCCCGGCGCTGGCCCAGGGCAGCAGATCCCCATAGTGCCACCAGCCCGGACAAAAGTCCCCCCACCCCCTTTGCCAACATTTCGATTCACGCCTCCCTCGGCACTGGCCCTGCTCAGCCACAGGAAATCCAGGTCTCGGCTCTCTCTGGCAGAACCCACGGCCCATACAACCCTGCTGATGCCAGGGCCCCACCCACTCTAACCACTAGCCCACACTTCTCTCTCCCTAGCCCGCAGAACCCACCAGGAGGGGCTCCTGCATTGCCATGTTGTGTGACCTCCACCCCACCCCACCAGGGGCAGTTCTGAGCCCTCCCTATAGGGGGCAGCGGGACAGACAGACACGCCCCACCAGCCCGCCACCCCCTGCAGGGCCCACCCGCCAGAGGGACAGACAGACACTGCCTGGTAAACTCCTTCCCCCAGCCGTGACCCCCCCCTCCCATGTCACTCAAGGGGCCAAGAGATCAGGGGATGAATTATAGGGGCTCACAGTCATCCCCCCCACAATCCCCTCTTCTGGAGGGCTGAGATTTTACAGCTCCCTCCTTTTTGTGGGGTAACCACCCTCCCCAGCAAAATATTTACCCCAGTGATGGGCCAAAATTCCTATGGGGGGGAATATGTTAAGAGGCATGGGGGCAGTGTCCTGTGGTGGTTTTTCTGGGGGGGGGACAGAGGGGTAGCCCTACAAATGCTGCACCCCAGGTTTGACAGTCCCGCCCAAATCTCAGTGCAGCCAGGGTGTGGCTGGACCCTGAGCTGCCCGAAATATTCTGCCATCCACAGAGCATGGCAACCCCCCACAGAGGGACCAATCCCCCCACAGCCCCCAGAGGGGCTGCCCCCCAGCCCCAAATCACAACGGACCCCTCCAATCCTCCAGAGCACCGGGTCACCCCACCCGCTGCAGCCCCCCCCCCCACATGCTCCACGCACCCCCCACTAAACCCCCCACTTTTTGACCCAGCCTCCAGAAATCCTCCCAAGCCACACACCCCTCATCCTCCCCACAAGCCCCCCCAAACGGTGATACCCCCAAACTCCACATTGTGCTGGGTCCCCCAAAAAGTTCCGCTCACCCCCCGCCCCAAAAAATAACCCCTCGGTTCCGATCCAAGCCCCACACAGAGTCTGACCCTCCCCCCACGCCGCTCCCAGAGCTGGGGGTCCCCCAGACACGTTTCCATTGCGCTCTAGGCGCGATGCGTAGGAAGGGTGGGGGGGCGCATGGAGCAAGATATTTACCTGGCTGGGGGCCCGGAGAGGCGGCTGGAAAGCGGCGCTGGGGGCCCGGAGCGGCGGCTGCGGGGCTGGAGCGGATCTGGGGCGCTGGTTGCTCCGCTGCGCGCTAGCTGCAGAGATTTGGGAGCGCGGCGCTGGGCGGGGGGGGTCTCTCCGCTCAGGGCGGAAAGGGCGGGGGGGGGGGGGAGGCAGACACCCCGCCCAGCCGGGACAGTGGCGTACACGTGCCATCCCGGGGAAGGGTGGGGCAGCGTGTGTGTCCCCGCCCCTCCCCTTCCCGCCCACAGGCAGAGACGGGACATAACCCCCTGCTCGTGTCCCCCGACTCCCCCCCATGTACCCCCACCTCCCCTCGCCCCGGCAGACACACCCCAGAGCTCCCCCCCATGCACACAGCCCCCCATCCCCCAGAGCTCCCACCCCATGCACACAGCCCCCCAATACCCCAGAGCTCCCAGCCCCCATGCACACAGCCCCCATCTCCCAGAGCTCCCACCCCCCCATGCACACAGCCCCCCATCTCCCAGAGCTTCCACCCCCCATGCACACAGCCCCCCAATACCCCAGAGCTCACAGCCCCCATGCACACAGCCCCCATCTCCCAGAGCTCCCCACCATGCATAGAGCCCCCCATATCCTAGAGCTCCCACCCCACCATGCACACAGCCCCCATCTCCCAGAGCTTCCACCCCCCATGCACACAGCCCCCCATACCCCAGAGCTCCCACCCCTATGCACACAGCCCCCCCATACTACAGAACTCCCACCCCATGCACACAGCACCCCACCCCCCAGAGCTCCTACCCCCATGCACACAGCCCCCCCATCCCCCAGAACTCCACACCCAGGGGCAGGATACCGGGGTGGATGGGCCCCAGGGGCGGATCCGAGGGGCAGGATACCGGGGTGGAAGGGCCCCTTGGGTGGATCTGGGGCAGAGAGGTGAAAAAGGAAGTGAGCCAGGGAGGGTGCGGGCCCTGCAGGACGGTTGTTATGGTGTTGCTCAGAGAAGAAAGGTGTTTCCTGTGATTGCGGTAACTGTCACATCACTTCTGCAGTAGTGCTCCAGCGCTGCGAGCTTCGTCTCAGCAGTGCCCCACAGGCGGTAGCTGTGTTTGGGGGACTGTTTTTGGTTTCCATGGTGACGGGAGTGGGGATGGGGGAGGGGCTCCCCGCCGCCCACAGCTGCACTCCACATCTGGCCCAGCTTCTGTCACCAGCGGGCGGGGCAGGGGTGACAGCAGCGCCCCTCCCCCAATACGGGGATGTCCCACAGGAGGCCTCGCCCCTACAGGATCTCAATATTTGGTTGCCCAGACAACCCTAGTGCCGCCCCCAACTTCCATCATCTGACACAGGGGTTCTGAAACGTGATCGCACCCCGACCCGCTTCTGACAACAAAAATTACAGCCCCTAACGCCAGCCCTGCCGACCCCATTACAACGGGGT